ATTCCTGCTCAGAGCAGAAAGGAGCTTAAGTGTAGGTGTAGAGGAGGTCTAGGTCAAGGAGGAGGTGGATGCAGAGTCCATGAAGGATTTGATTGATAGGATGATGCCAAATTCTGCCTGGAAGGACAGAAATCCTTCCCTCCAGATGACCCAGAGCCTTAGCCAGTGTGTCCCAAATGGTCTGTGCTCTTGAAACACTCCTTCCTGCTTTCTGGGTGACCTTTCCCATGGGTGTGTTTGAAGATTCAGGGAGAAATGGAGCCTGTTGTGTTGTTTTTTTCTCTATTGGAGCAAAACACTTGGTTGTTTTCCTGCCTTTATTGTGTTTGAGGTTTGCTTGGTCAGTACCAACCACTTGGCATTTTTCTCCTCGTCCTCAAAGGGTTGTGCACCAACAGAGTAACTTGTATTTATGTCTGTAAATAGAGTTCCAAAGCTTCAGAGCGAAATATTTAGTGCTTGTAATTAATCTGCTTTTTTGGTTTCCATTCCCCCCACACACAGTGTTTTTAATGAACTTTACCTTTGTGTTGGCTTCAATACTGTAGTGAGAATTATTTCTTGCCCAGTTAGTTATGTTTAGGCCTTGAGATGAACTACATTTTATTCACTTTTGTAAACAGTTATAGCATGGTCTCTAGTCCACATCCTTCACTTTTCTTTTTTTTTTGTGGTAGGGGAGAAACCAATGTGCAACAAATCTGGGGGTTATATGTGGTATTTTGGGTTGGACACTTCCAGCTCTCCTTAAAATAGACTTGCAGTTGGAGGTGATGAGGCTGGAGGGGAGGACACAGCAGGGCACAACCCTCGAATGGCACCAAAGAGTATTTGTTCAGCATTTTCTGCCTATGTTTACAAAACAGATGCTGCAGCATCTTGCAAAAGTCACATTTTCCCTCATCTTGCTGAACATGAACATTTGAACAGGTTGCCTAGGGAGGCTGTGGCTGCCCCAACCCTGGCAGTGTTCACAGCCAGGTTGGATGAGCCTTGAGCATCCTGCTCTGGCAGGAGATGTCCCTGCCCAGGGCAGGGTTTGGGGCTGGATCATCTCTAAGCTCCATCCCAACCCCAAAATCTCTCTGATTCTACCAACATTTCCAGGAGGGAAAACCACCAGGTTGGGCAAGTTGGTTCTTTGGGGTTGTATTGAAGAGGATTTTTTCTCCATGGGGAGTGTTGGCTGCTGCTTTTTTGAAGCAGATGAATAGGAAAAGAGAATAAAACAGATTTTCCCCCCCACTACAGGAAGTCTTGTCGAT